CGGGAAGCCTGCTTCTCCCTCTCCCCCTCCCCCTGCTTGTGTTCCCTCTCTCGCTGTGTCTCTCTCTGTCAAATAAATAAAATAAAATAATCTTAAAAAATAAAATAAAAAAAAATAAATGTAAAATGTCTTCTCTTTAAAAGACACTTTTAAAATAATGAGAAGATGTCATAGGCCAGGAGAAAATATTTGCAAATTATGTATCTGATCAAAGATTTGCATGCAGAATATATTTTAAGACACACATACTCAAAACTCAGTAAGAAAATAACCAAACTAATTTTTTTTCACAGGCAAAATATCCAAACAGACACTTCACCAAAGAAGATACATTGTTGGTAAACAGGCAAATCAAGAGATGCTCAACCCCAGTAATGAGGAGATGCAAACTGAAAACACAATGTGATACCACCACCCTCCACCTACACGGGCTGGCATCGGTAAACATTGACTATACCAAGTGATAGCAAGGATACTGAACTCTCACACACTACTGGTGAAAAATGTAAAATGGTACAAACTGCTTTAGAAAACAATTTGGCCATCTTTTACAAAATGTACACCTGACCTATAGTCCCTCTATTACATTCCTAGGTATTACCCAAGAGAAATGAGAATATCTGTCCAAAAACTTGTACCTGAGTACTCATAACAGCTTTATTTGTGATAGCCAAAAACTGGGAAGAGATAACCAACAGTAGGTGAACAGATAAATAAATTGTAGTATATCATTATAATGGAATACTACTTGGCAATAAAAAAGGAATAAATTATTGATACACTCAATAACATGAATGAATCAAAATAATTATGCTGGGTGGAAAAAACAGACATAAAAGAGTATAACACATACACAATTTACATTAAATTCTAGGATATGGAAACAAAGCTATAGTGACAAAAGGCAGATCAGTGGTTCCCTGGGGACAGAGGGACAGGGGCAGAGAGGGAGGGGATCACAAAGGGGCACAAAGAAACTTTGGGCACTGATGGATATGTTCATTATCTTAATTGTGGTGATGGCTTCAGAAGTGTATATGTATGTCAAAACTACCAAATCATACACTTTAAACATGTTCAGTTAATTGTGTATCAACTATATCTCAATACTGTTAACAAATACATCATAAATATTAAACACACACAAAAATATATATGGAAAATGTATGTACTAGTTTTATGCTTATGCTGATGCATGGGACTCTGAAACTTTTAGCAGGTCTAAAGCAACTTGTTTACCTTCCTCCAAGCTTCCTCCTTCTATACTGTTAATAAACGACCCCCCCACACTCAGCCCCCCAAGTAAGAACCCCAGACTCTACTCTCCTCCTCAGACTCTCCTCGCCCTTCCCTATGACACCAGAGTGCCACCACTCTACTCCAGGCACATTATTGCAATGCTCTTCTCATTGTTTTTTCTCCCTCGAGCCTCACCCCCCGCTACAACCCTCTACCGTCACCAACGAGGTCTTTAGGAAACATGCAGAAGTGATCATGCCATGCCCTTCAGTGGCTTTACATTCTCTTCAGGATACAGTCCTTCTCCATGGCTAGTGCTATCATGCCTTACTCAACCAGGCCCTTACCAGCGTCTCCTGGCTAAAAGTCTAACCAACCAGCCTCCTCTTCCCATTCCCCAAGCCACTTCCCATTCCCACTCAACTACTTGCAGCTTCCTGAATAGGGTGTGTCGTTTCATACAAGCTTCTCCCTGCCATTGCTGCCCCTCCAGAGAGCAGGGACCAAATCACACTGGCCTTTCTCACTCAGCACAGACCGGGAAAATACAAAAGCAGGCCACCCTGCTGTAAGCCAGCTTGCAAAAAGTCAATTTACAAAACTGACTTGTTTCTTTTCACCATTTTGCTTCAGGTGATTGGGTTTTCTTTTGTCTTCACAACACCATTTTCAGGAAAGCTCGATTTTGTCTCTTTCGCTTCCCTTCTTATTCATGAGAAGAAGATATTCGTAAGAAGAAATCATTCACTGACGAGAGCAGATGCTCAGTAAATTTATATTAAACAGATACCAGCTTCTGTTTTCAAAAATGCAAAATTATGACTGGGCAAAAGAGTAAACGCAAGGCAAGCACCTATTTCCCTAGAACAATGTCTGAGAAGGCTTTCCAAAGCTCAGGCTCATCCTCTCTCTGGTTTTCTTTTTCAGTTTCACAGAAGTGTTTGCTTTACCCCAGGGCATAAACTCCACAGTTTGTGAAACAAATTAACCGGAGCTAGCAACGCTTGGCTTCAGGTGGGAGAAAGTAAGGAGAGCCCCGAATTAGGCGGCGCTTGGGGAGGTTGATGGGATGTGTGCTCGTATGTGGCCACAAGGGGGGGCCAGCCACCTTGGTAAGTAGCCAAACCTGCGTGACAGGCGCCCCGCTGCTCCCCTCCGCTGTGTGGCCCACGTCCCTGAAAGAATATCTTTACGGACAGAAGCGTCTTGACTGACAGGTCTCTTCAGGAAAACAACAACAACAACAACAACTCCAAAAACAAATCAAGGTAAACCAGAGTCCCTAGATAGTTGTATATTTTCTAAATGTTTCCTCTAGAACATTGCTTGGCTTCGCTTACAGCTATCATTATGCGTTCTCTAGCTATTTGAGGCGAGGAAACCGAACTGATGGGAAAACAGACATGGCTTAGGGGTTCCAGATGTCCAGAGACGCTACAGTATCAGGCAAGGATTTATTCTAGTGCCTCACCATCAACTTCATTTGAAATAACGTTAAATTAAATCGGATGGCTAATGCAATGAATAGCACCTACACAGAGGAACCAGGGTTAAAACAAAAAAAAAAAGGAGAAAAACAGAATTCACTTAAAAAACAAAACAAACAAAAACAAAAAGACAAACAAAACCAGGCTGAAAAGGATGCCTGTCACCAGACACTGAAATCCAGGGAGCAGCTAGCTTGTTCCTTTAGACTCACTCTAGCCTATAGTGACTGACTCACATTGCATATGTCCCCTATATCAAGTCCTTCAAGGGATATTCTCTTTCTCTTCAAATCTTTCAGCGGTGAAAATGCTCTTACTGGGGGGTAATAATAACTTAGGTTTAGGGGGAATGAAATATAAAATTATATGATAATTCAGCTTAAATTTAAGAGACTATACTATTTACTGTCTTTTTTTTTAAGATTTTATTTATTTATTTGAGATAGAGAGAGCGAGGGAGAGAACGAGAGAGCGAGATCACGAGCAGTGGGGGAAGGGTAGAGGGAGAAGAAGACTCCCCACTCAGCAGGGAGCCCAACGACGTGGTGCTCGATCCCAGGACCCCGGGATCACAACCTAAGCTGAAGGCAGACGCTTAACTGATTGAGCCACCCAGGCACCCTACTATTCACTGTCTTAATAAGATGACCTCATAGGTCAAGATAGAAAAAGCCAAAGATAAGTAAGTTTCTTTCCCCGAGTTTAGGCAAGGGAACTGGCCCAGAGCATTCTCTCTCTTCTACAGAGGTACCAGTTGGTAATTCTTCTCATTGCACTTATTTGAATGGAATAGGAGAGTTTATGAAACGCCATGCAACCCAAGTCTCAAACAAGGACATAACTTAAATACAAACTAACCAAAGAAAAGGAGAAGGCAAAAGGAGAAGGAGTGTAAATTCTTTACCTAACTGATCAACTCACCCGCATAAAATGCCACTGTGCTGTGGTCTGCAACTTGAGATCCTGAGCACTTTTATGGACCACGAGGAAAAGACATCCTAGCTCTTAAGAAACAAAAATCCGAACCATGAGAGACTATGGACTCTGAGAAACAAACTGAGGGTTCTAGAGGGGAGGGAGGTGGGGGGATGGGTTAGCCTGGTGATGGGTATTAAGGAGGACACGTATTGAATGGAGCCCTGGGTGTTATATGCAAACAATGAATCATGGACCACTACATCAAAAACTAATGATGTAATGTATGGTGATTAACATAACATTAAAAAAAAAAGAAAAATCCGCCTCCAACTGCCCAGCGTTTAAGTCTCAGTGACTATAACACCCCAGAGTAGAGAGCTCGTCTCCACCTGGCAACCCAAGGACTGCCATAATCATCACTGCTCCACTGTCTCACCTCCTGCAAGGTGCAATCACAAGAGGCTGAGAAGGCATCCTTGGAACCCGAACAAGATCACAGAAAAGATCCACCATTCCCCACAGAGGCAAGTCAACTACTATTGCACGCATCCTGGCTTAATTGTTTTGCTTTGTTTTGTTTCATTTTTCTGCACTGGTCTTTATTACTGTGGATGTTTATAGAGAAGTTTGGTCACTTTTACCTTCCTAATGAGTTCCGCATTGTTTATGGTGACCATAACCATACCGCAGCATCACGTAATTTAAGCACCAAAGAAGACATACTGCCCTTTTTAAAAGTTTGTAAAGTTTTGACTGAGACTATGCCTTAAAAAGGACATAACTATTTTAAAAAATTAGTTGAATAACTAAGAAAAAAGTAATCTAACAGCCCTCATCAATATGAGTAGGAAAGAAAGAAAGAAAGAAAGAAAGAAAGAAAGAAAGAAAGAAAGAAAGAAAGAAAGAAAGAAAGAAAGAAAAGGAAGGAAGGAAGGAAGGAAGGAAGAAAGAAAGAAAGAAAGAAAGAAAGAAAGAAAGAAAGAAAGAAAGAAAGAAAGAAAGAAAGAAAGAAAGAAAAAGAGCGAGCGAGCCTAGAATAGTGTCTGGCAAACTTAAAAAATATTTATTAAGTAAATGAATGAATCTCTTGGGAGATGATAAGTAAATAAACATTTAGGATCATTCTGTGTCATTTTAGACCCTCAATATGTCTGAGGTGCCACTCTGTAAGAAATAATAAAGTGGCATTATGAGTTATACATGCTTATTCAGTGCTGGTTCACTGACGATAAACTGTCCATTTGGACCACAAGCCAACAATTAGAAAGCCCCGTTTACTCACCCTTCCGTGTGGAGACGGCTTCCTACATGCTGGTTTCTAGGCTCAAACCCACGGTATTTGCTGTGCATACTTACGCAGCAGCTCAACTGCTGCCTAAGGCTATGAAGTTCTTCCACAAAATGTATTTCCCTGCAGACTTGTAACTGGAGTTGACCAAAAACATCTTCCATGAAGAAGGACAGAAGCTGTTCTTGGAATCTGCAGCTTTTCTATAAATGACATATAAGAAATTGCCTAAGGTAAAGCACCAATAGCTTTTGTAAAATGTCGCTGAAATACCCACCTGATTATTACTTAATGGCCATCTGGAAAAATTAAAATGCAGGGGAGAAAGCATCAAGCAAGTAGAAAAACGAAAAAGACATAAACCCTCTGGCTTACCGTAAATAGCTTTTTTGTTTTCTTTTTTAATAATCGTATATTTTTTATGTGGTCTTCCTACAATAAAACAAAGAGAACTAAGTTTCATCCAGAATGACAAATGTCTTTTCGGCCATCATTTTAAGCAGAGCCCAATACTTACTGGAATTGTTGCTTTGAGCTGTGCTGCCTTGACATACAGCATGTCAACAGCTTGGAACAGTGTTCCCCTTGGGTAACAACCTTTCGCGGAGGAAGATGGCCTGTGCTTGGCAATGGCAAGAGACAGAGCGGCCAACAGCAACCAGACCTCCAAATGCAATCCACCTGCATTTCCCTCCACCCCACTCCGGGCTCATGTCACTGGTGGCAGCCAGAGAGTTCTTGTGCTGGTGAGATGATCGGATAACCTACTTACATGAGCTCTCAAGGCCACCTCTCCGATGAGATGCTGTGGTAGATAACTTACAGTGTATATAGAGGAAGATCACTTTGGTTGTTCTGGTTTTTTAGAGCTTGCTTCATAACCAAAACTACTTTGACCACACTATCTGTGATGTTTAGAAAAAGCTCAAGTTTACTGGTAAAAGTTGGGGCCCCCTTTTAAAAAAATGTCAGAATTTCAGTTGCATATCACAACAGATTCATTATTTTTAAAAGTCATGCCAAGCCAGTAAGAGACTGATCTCCAGGAGGCTGTGTGATTTTTTTAAATTCCCATATGGGAAAAACAAAACAAAACAAAAACCTCCTTTCTAACCAATATCTCCCCCCCCCCCCCCCAAAAAAAAATTAACTAAAGGTAGATTGGACAGCCCTGGGAAACCCGCTCATGATCTCATATGGGTGTTACATGTCTCCCTGGCCAAGCCCTTCACCCAGCACCCCCCCCCCTCAGGGACCACCATTCTTCAGCCAGCATCAAGACCCAAGAGAGGACTTCTCCAGTTTTTCTCAAGAATCTTTCCAGCTCAGAAATTGTAAACCCCCCCCTAACATATTCAAGATTTGTTTGGCACAGGACCTGGGATTAAGGCTCACAGTTTAGTAAATTCTCTATCATCTCTGTCCAAAATGACCACCCAGACTTCCCCTCTAGCTCTAGACTTCAAGTAGTATGTACATTTCTTGAGGAAAGAGACCCAAACTTTCCATCTCTGAATCCTCAGCATCTCCCATGGTGCCTCCTCTAAAGAGGTACATCCAATATTAGTTGACTAAATATTTTCCTTTCCACATCATGAAATGCTACTGTAACTGCATTGTTTTTTAATTTATTCCATCAACAAATTTCTGTCAAGGCTCTGCTTATACAAAGACCAGTGCTAGATACTAGGGGGCTATAAAGGCAGATGCTCCATGGAATCCTGTCCTCAGTTCTGTCCCAGTTCTCCTTATGGTGGTAGGTATGGTTCATTTGAGGTAGCAGCCCCAAGAAGAAGAGGACGTAGCCCAGAATCATATAATGAGAAGCAGAGACAGGCCACCAAAGCCTAGCAGGCATAGAGTTAATGTAGACCTGGGTAAGGCAATACTAGGAATCAGGGCATGAGCAAGAGATGCCTCAAAATTCAGCAGAGTCGGTAACAAGCATCAAAATCCAAGACTAATGTCTAAACCAAGACAACCAGGCTAGCAAAGGGGCAAGGAGAAAGTATGAATGAAAGGTCCAAACACTTGGGAATATTTCCTGCTGTGTCAAAAAGGAAGCAGATTTGGAAGGGCCCCAGCCTCATCTGCACAGGACCACCTCTGCTGACGAAGACTCAGCCTCTGAAGCGATATGAGAACTGTTTTACAAAGAGCTACAGCAGAAGACCACTGCTTGGGAGTGCAAAGTGGGGGGGGGGGGGGTTCACTGAAATTTTAGAAAAATTCAGGAACAGGGAGAATTATTTTTAGCTGGGTGTAGCTTAAGCTTTAAGTTTGAACTGGGACATGAAATACCCTAAGGGCTTTCATGTGTGTGTATATGTGTGTTTGAACTGAGTAAATGCCTATTATTCAAAATTCCTTTAGACAAAAGAGCTGGAACACCAGGGGTCAAAAGCCCAAATGCCTTCAGAGGGTGTGGGATTAACGTAAACACCCTGAGTGGGTGGATATAGGACAACTGGGACTAAATTGCTTATTTGCCCACCAAGCCTAAAAGCTGCCTAATTATATAGCCTATTAACACACTGAATGGGTGCACTGAAAGGACCATAGAAATACTTCCAGGAGCTGTGTCCTGCCTTGAGCAGCTAATTTGAGGTCCCTGGTGTGTACCAACAAAACAGAAGTGCGACGCAAATGGCTAATATTGATAAATGAAGTCAGTGTATGTTCTGTTTTTTGACTCCTGCTAGTTGCATTTACATCAATGTCTCATGTCTCTCAAACCATCATGACCCAAGGAAGATCATACACATCCCAAGGATGCCTCTGCTTTGGTTTACAACCGACGCAAGGAAACTGGTCATTTCCTTATGACTGAAAACTATATCACCCTGTTTAGCATAGTGATCCTGTGCCTTAGTTGGTAGATCTGTCTCATTAGGGTCCTTCAAACAATCAAATCTGATCTCAAAGGATGAGTAGTGATTAATATAAGGATGATACTCAAAATTCAGGTCCTGAAGACAATTCCAAAAGGGGGCCCCAGAAGTGTCCCAGATAACAGAAGAACCATTAGAATAAGTACATAATGTCCTTGGGGCACCAGTCTGAAACAAAGGCTCTGCTCATCTGGAGGTATTTTTATTATATCACTTTCACAAGTTCCTTATACAGAACTATATAAAAATGGCTATTAATTACAAGGAGATTTGGTTTTGAAACTCAGATCCAACTATGCTACGAGTTGTACAGCCATGGGAAAGTTATTAATCCTCTCTGAGCTTCAGTTTTTGTCATCATTCAAACGGTACAATAATTGTACCTACTTCAGAGGGCTGTCATGAGCAACAAATAGGGTGATATAAGTAAAATGCTCAGCACAATACCAGCAATAGATGCACTCTGGAAGTGGTTTTTGCTATTGCATTATTATTTTTCAAATAATAAATGTGTCTCAGTCTGTCCAGGCCCTATAACAAAACACCACAGACTGGATAGCTTATAAGCAACGGAAATGTATTTCTCACCACTCTGAAGGCCAGGCAGTCCGAGATCCACATGTCAGTATGGTCACACTCTGGTGAAGGCTCTCTTCTGGGTTGCAGACAGCCAACCTCTCCCTGTATCCTCACATGGGAGAGAGGCAAGGGATCTCTCTGGAACCTCTTTTATAAAGGCACGAATCCCATTCATGAGGACGCGGCCCTCATGGCCTACCCACCTCTCAGAGGCCCCACCTAATACCATCACCTTCGGGTTTAGGTTTCAACATACAAATCTGAGGAGGAGGGAGGCACAAACATTCAGACCATAGCAAAATGCATGTGCAATAAATACTCTGAATAATGTTGAAGTTTATCACAAGCTTTCAGAAGTTTGGAGAGATAGTTGAAGAAAGTGAGAAAAGTGAAGGATGCACAATGATCTGACAATATTTCAAAGAGTATGTGGCATGAGGAAGTCAGTTTACCCCACACACATCCAGAAAGCAGACTAGGACCATTAGGTGGTTATTTTAGGGCTGCCACTCCTACATAATGTATAGGAGAACATTAAACCAATTGATCTGCCCAGAAGCATAATTGGCTACCCCAATTCCCAAATGCCGCCATGGCAGCCATTTCCCTTAAAATTCAGCTCTACCCCCACACACCCAAAAGAATGCTAGCTGCGCTTTCTGATATGGTCAAGCATATCCAATGAGCAAAGGGAGGCTCATGCAGAGAATCACAGCTCACTTGGAGATCTCTGTGATTGCAACTTTGTATCTGCTCCTCTGTAGGAGGGGGAAACAAAACAAAACAAAACAAAAAAACCCAATTGGGATTCCTAAATTGCTAACCCATTTCGTTGACTCTAAGACACATTTGTGGTTTGGCTTTTTTTCCCCCACATTTTAATATCTCTGAAATTACAACATGTTTTATGATCCATAGAGTCTGATGATTACATCACCAAATCAGCCCCTGGTGCTGTAGTCCCTTCCTGTGCAGTCCCTTCCAGTCGTGCCCCTACTTGGAACTGTGTGCATGGCTGTTACTACATGTGTTTTTAATTACAACTCAAATATCTTTAGAAAGATTGCACTATGATTCAGCAATGAAATAAAAGTTAATGTGTTCTCAGAAAGGCACAGAACAACGGTGGGATGCAAATCTGCTATTAGAGAAGCAAATATTTATCTTTGGAAGAGTGACTAAAATTACATATTTTTTTACAAGGCAACAACCAAGTGCTAAATGGTAAGAAAGCAAAGACTGATGAATCGCTGAACTCTACCTCTGAAACTAATAATACACTACATGTTAATTAATTGAATTTAAATTTTTAAAAATAAATAAAAATAGGTCATTCTTATATCCCCCAGAAAATAAAATAGTATTTAAGGCTTCAAACTATCTTCTAAATGATGCCCTTGTGTCCTCAATGCAATTGCAGCCCTTTAATAAGCTTCACTTAATAAATACAACTCCTAAGATTTGAGAGAGCTCATATAGCAGTTGCATGCAGAACAAATTATTTCCTAGGGCATGGATAACATGGACTCAAAATTGTAATTTGTCGTAAATACATACTACAAATGTAATATACAATGAGAATTTTTTCATATAGATACCTAGTTGTTCCAGTCACATTTGTTGACATGACTGTCATTTTCCCCATTGAATTTTCCTGGCGCCTTTGTTGAAAATCAATTAATTGTATATGTGTGAGTCTATTTCTGCATTCTACTGGGTCCCATTCATCTATTTACACCAATGTTACACTATCTTGATGACTGTAGAGCTTCTTAGTAATTCTTGAAATCAAGTAGTGAAGTCTTCCAATATCCTTTTTCAGGATCATTTTGGCTCTTCTATATCCTTTGCAATTTCACATTAACTTTACAACCAGCTTATAAATTCTTTTAAAATAATCCTACGGGAATTTTGACTGGATGGCCGTAACTTTAGAGAGGGTAGACATAATAATAATATAGAGGCTTCCAATCCATGAACAATTTACCATTCCATTTATTTAGATATTTAATTTCTCTCTATAATATTTTATAGTTTTCATTGTACAGGTTTTGCACATTTTTTGTTAAATTTATTTATTCCTAAGTAGTTTACACTTTGATTTTCTTGTAAATGGTATTATTTCTTAGTTTTATGTACGGCCCAGTAACATAAGATATATCTTGGTGATGTTCAATGTGCACTTGTAAAGAATGTGTACTCTACAGTTATTGGATCATCTAAATATGTCAGGTCAAGTTGGTGAGAGTGTCACTTAAATCTTCTATATCCTTACTGATATTTTGTAATTTATTCTATCACATACTGAAAAAGGAGTACTAAAATCTCCAAAAGAAGAAGAAGAAAGAAGAAAATAAGAAGAAGAAGAAGAAAGCTTCACATCATAGATTAATTAGCAGCAGTTTTTCCTTTCTTGGAGATAAATAAAATACTGGTACAACTTTGAATGTATGGTATCTTAAATTTGTCGAAATACAATGATTAATAACCTCAGTGATTGGCATAATTCCTTAGGATCATAAATCCTAAAATCTATAAAGTTATAAATAAGAAGTAGATGGATCTATCTTAAACCAGTTATGCCATTAAAAAACCCAGAAATCCAATAGGTCTTTTCCAGGATAGAGCCAGAAGATATAGGTAAGAAATAGTCGTAGATTGATCAAAATACTTAATACAACGACATCTTGGCTTTTTCCTTTCAGAAAAGTTTGGATCCTCTCTATCAGACAGTTCCACCCAGGAAAGATGTTTATCCTGTGTTTACATCATCAGAGAAATGGATGAGACCAGGCTAGAGAAGGAATGAAGAGTGCTGTAAATGGTCTGGATGGGAAAGAAAGGGGATATGGAAGCTGGACTCATGGAACAGCATGAAGAGGAAAAGTGCATGAAAATCCTCTGAGAATCTCAGCCTGTGTTCCCTGCCCTGTGCCAGGTGGCTTGTACTCCATATGTTTTCCCCCTTCATCGTTAATTCATTCAGTCACCAAATATTTTTTGAGTGCTGGTTATCTCCCAGTCTTACTGGGGCTTAGAATGCATCAATAAACAAAACAGAAAATTGCTGATTTCGTACAACATTCTTGTGGTAGTGGAGAAAGGAGAAGACAAAAAATAAGTAAACACGATCAATATAACTTATTATGTAAGTTATACACGGTTGGAAAATGATAGCTGCTTTGGTGAAAATGGAATAGAATAAGGAAGGTTGGTGCTCAGATGGGGAGGGGTTGTAAACAGGATGATCACAGAAGACTCAATGGAAAGGTAACATTTAAGCAACAGTAGAATGAAGTAAAGGAGTGGAGATACCTATTCAGTCAAAAGTCACAGTCAGTGCAAAGACCTTAGGGAAGATGTATGCTTAGCATGTTCAGTACAGCTAGGAAGCCTGTGTGATCAAACTAGAGCAAGTGAGGAGGGCAGAAGAATGTGACGTCAAAGAGGAAACGTGGACACAGGGCACAGCCCTTAAAGCTGTTAGTGGGACTTCAGCTTCCAGTCTTGGTCATATGGGAGACTTGAACAAAGGAGGTGTATCGTCTGACATCGGTGCTTTAAAAAGAAAACAGGACCCAAATATCTGTGAATGAATGAAGGGATAAACCAGGTATAATATATCCATACAATGGAATGTGAGTCATAAAAAGGAGTGAAGTACTGACACGCTGCAGCATGGATAAACTTGAAAACAATATGGTACATAAAAGACTCTGAACACAAAAGATCACATATTGTATGATTTCACTTCTGGGAAATATCCAGAATGGGTAACTATATAGAGACAGAGAACAGTTTGATGGTTGCCAGGGCTGAGAGGAGGGGGAATAGGGAGTTACTGCTGGCTTCCCTTTGGGAGTGATGAAAATGTTTTGGAACTGGATAGAAGTGGTGGTTGTGCAGCATTTTGCATGTACTCAATGCCAACGAATTGCTCATTTTTAAGTGGTTAATTTTATATTATGTGACTTTCACCTCAATAAAAGGAAAGAAGGAAGGAAAGGAAGAGAAAGGAAAGGAGGAGGAGGGAAGGAGAAGAAGGAAAGGAGAAGGAAAGAAAGAGAGAAGCAAGGAGAGCCCAGCCGCTGATGCAGCAGGAGGGAAAGAAACCACCTGAGTCATAGCTACACCAAGCCTTATCTGAGGTCGTGGTCCTTCCCTTCTTGTTCAATCCAGAAGAGAATTACTTTTTAAAAAAAAAAATTTTTTATTTAGATTCAATTAATTAACATATAATGTATTATTGGTTTCAGGGGTACAGGTCTGTGATCCATCAGTCTTACATAATACCCGGTGCTCATTACATCACATGTCCTCCTTAATGTCCATCACCCAGTTACCCCATCCCTCCACCCCCCTCCCCTTCAGCAACCTTCAGGTTGTTCCCTATGATTAAGAGTCAGAAGAGAATTTTTTTTAACTATATTGCAAATGTGAACATTTTAGTAGCCCTAGAAAAACGTTTTTTAAGAGGAGGAGAATCCTACCTCATCCAAATTTTAAAACATATTTAGATCCATCTGAATGCTTTCTTAAGAGGTGAAATCATGTCCTGGCTACTTGCTTTTCTGCTGAACCTAGAATTCATGGAATTAAGAGAGGCCTTGACTGTCATGTGTGACAACTTAATATTCCACAGGCTGGATGGAAGGGACTACTTTCATATCCTGAAATATAGGGGCTAGCTTAATACTTTTCATTATATTTGAAAATGTAGGTAGTTTTTTTTTTTTTTTAAGATTTTATTTATTTATTTGACAGAGAAAGACACAGCGAGAGAGGGAACACAAGCAGGGGGAGTGGGAGAGGGAGAAGCAGACTCCCTGCCAAGCAGGGAGCCCGATGCGGGACTCGATTCCGGGACTCCAGGATCATGACCTGAGCCGAAGGCAGTTGCTTAACCAACTGAACCACCCAGGCGCCCCAAAAAAACGTAGGTAGTTTTAGATCATCTGGTATGGCTCCATTTTACAGAATCCAAGGAAGTTTAATCATACGCCCAAGTGACCCTTAGATCAAAGAGGCAGGGGATTCCATCCATGTTCATGAGAACCCAAAGCCCTATGTTTCCCACTGCCTGTGCTGCCTCCCACCGCCCTGGAGAGCAGGACACATGGAATGTCAGAGGTTGTGATGGACACTACAGACAATAAGAGATGGGACAGTGGCCTAAGGAAAAAGGAACAAGAAGAAAAAAAACTAAGGAAGAGTAAAACAATTGTTTGTGGTATTTGACAGCCCTTGCATATATATATTATAAAAATATCTATATTAAACATCACGAAGTATTCCTTTACTTGTTCTTCCCAACATTCTATAAGAGGTGAAGGAGTTCTTGTTTTTTCCAGTGTGCAGGTGGAAGAGCTGGGATGGAAAGAGGGAAAATGACTTCCCCCAAGGCACGGAGCCAGGAAGGAGCAAACTTAGGCTTGACCCGTGTCTTCGAAAAACAAACCCAGTGGTATTTCCACTGGACCATTTTGCCTCTGGGTTTATAAGTAAACATGATTTATGTGTGACTCCAAGGTCTTCTGATGGGAAGTATAAAAATAAACCTACTATTAAAAAAATTATTATTCATTCCAATAGCTATTTTTCAGTATCAATCTTCTTCATAGCTCTGTAGCTATGCTGTTTAGCATTTGCTGCTTAGACACATTGGTACCATCCACATTGGCCATTCATTCTCTGGCAGTGAAAGGCACATCAGCCATAAATCCTGCAAAGAATATGATACCTTAACCAAGATTTAAAAAATACAAAATCAAAAATTAGAAGCAGATGATCATAACCCAGCACAAAGGATGACAGAAAACAGATCTCTGCTGCTGTCCCCTTCCCTGAGCTCAGCTAAAGAAAAGGAAGAGGAAGGAAGCACAACACAAATCCAGGCATCCTTCAAAATTTTGTCAAAGGTAGCCTTTCTACCTCATTTTCAAAGTGTATTAAAAATAAGTTTTGCGGGCGCCTGGGTGGCTCAGTCGTTAAGCGTCTGCCTTCGGCTCAGGTCATGATCCCAGGGTCCTGGGATCGAGTCCCACATTGGGCTCCCTGCTCGGCGGGAAGCCTGCTTCTCTCTCTCCCACTCCCCCTACTTGTGTTCCTGCTCTCGCTATCTCTCTCTCTGTCAAATAAATAAAAAATAAATAAAAATAAGTTTTGCAGTAATAACAGCAAGAATGGAGACGGAGTTTAGAAATCATCTTCTGAGAGTCCTAGAAATAGATATACCTTTTCCATCAAAATGGATTAATCATTGGTCTGTCTCCTCAGCCCTGGGGCCCTGTGGCAATCAGCACCTGATAGACTTTACTCAGACTGAGTAATGCATTTGAACCTGAACTTACACTAGCAACACGATTTCTCCCCTAAGGACTTCCCCCTCACATTCAGAGTAAAAACCCAAGTCCTTTCAATGGCCTAAGGGCCTACCTGATTTTGCCCATTCCCCATACCTTTCTGGCCTCTTCTCCTACTGCGGTCCCCTTGCTCTCCTGATCTAGCCACAACACCTCCTCGTTGCTCTTCCAACTCACCAAGCACACCTTTGTCTCAGGGGCCTTTGTCCTTGCTGTTCCCCCAGATATCTGCATGGCCAGCTCTTTCAAATTTTTCAAGACTTGGCTCAAATACCACTTTCTCAGCAAGGCTTTCCCATGATATCTGTTATGGGCTGAATGTTGTCCCCCTCTCCCCACCAAAACTCATATGTTGAAATCCTAACGCCCACTACGCTAGAATGTGACTGTATTTGGAGACAGGTTCTTCAAAGAGGTGACCGAGTTAAAATGAAGTCCTCTGGGTGGGCCCTAATCCAACACGACT